CCTGTTGCAACAAGTCCATGTACATCCTAACTTACTGTCCTTCAGCACTTGCGTCGAGACCGTAACTTGGCACTCGACCCCACCAAACTACACACTCCTTTGACTTTGATTGCACTTCCGTCACCACACGCTTCTCACACTTATGAGTGGTCTCATTCGACGCCACTATCAACTGTTCGCACTACGTCTTGTATTTTGTCAACACACGCGAACTTCAGCCTCGCTACTTTCCTCTTGCTCACTGCGCAAATTCCGAAGCTACTGCGGTCTTGAACCGCGCTCGCCGCTCACTCTACCTCATGGCAAACAGTTGCGCAGCCTGTTGCCGTCACCAGTGGGTTCACACCCAGATACAGCGCCCCCTCGTCCTTGAATCGTTGAACGTGCTGTCCCAGCTCACTCTGTCCTTCGTACGCCATTCTTTTACGGTGCGCACATTGTGACGCCAGATTGCTCCTGACTACTGCCTCCTTCACGTCTTTGCACTTCAAGTTCAATGCAGTATTATAATGACAAAAAGGGTATAGGCATCTAATGCGCCTGCTCCGCAGCCGCACCATCTGCGCTTAGTGTACGCTGAAGTCTGTTTGGATAAATTTTCGCGGGACTAAATTACTTCGATTACTGTAGTCGTAATTTACGATCATGCTACGCTTTGGCCGCACAGCGCCACTGGCGCATAAAATACACATCACCAAGCTACTTGATTATAGTAAAAATGTTGTTTCTGATACAATCTGAAATGACACGTCATGCAGGTTTAGAGAGAACGGATACGACAATCCAATGTAGAGTCTATATAACAGGTGTATCAAGGTGATGGGAGTCAATCTATTTTAAAGTTTTAAGCAGAAAACCCTTAGTTTGGGATCCGAGTATAAAGAAATTAAAGTAGTTTTGGGTCGAAATGATTAGCATAACAAAAAACGCCTGGATTATAAATTCGAGAGAATAAGTAATCAAAATTACATCCTCGTGGGTCAGAACTTTACAAGTACCGTCGTATTTAGGTTCTGCAAATATGGACATCACTACGGACAACGAAGCGAGAGTTGCCATCACAGGGTCGCGAAACTGGCATCGGGCTTCAGTCCAATTACTCAGAAGGTGGCGTTTCGGTTGTGGCTGCAGCAAAAAGCGAGCCCCACTCACGTCTTCAATCTACTGTTTTCTTTCGAATTGTCTTCTCTAAATTAAAACCCACCCCACATCGGTCAAAAAATATAGATCCATAAACTACGACCCGATCAATACTTGTATGTATTAATGTCGGCAAATGCAAAGCCAGAAACCCGGGTCGTGGTGTGTACCACTTGTATCTCCACAGTACA